CCCCTCCTCCCTGGTCTGCAAGGAGCCCAGCCGTGTTCACGCGCGGGAATGAGGAAGGGGTAATGCACAGCCTTGAGGAACTCCCGAAGGGAGGCTCCTTGCTCAGGCCCTCCCAGAGCCGGGCTTCGGCCTTGCCTCAACCTGAGGCATCAAGATGGCGGCAGCGCCGCAGCTTCGGGATGGGTGGAGGGGCCGGCCTGCGAGGAGACTGGGACATACCATCCCCACCCCGGGGGAGAGAGGATTAACGCGGCCTGGGAAAAGGAAGTCCTGCCTGGAAAACCAGGGACCGCCCCCTCGCTCCACCCAAGCGTGGCCCTTCCCACTCCCCTGGGCCGACGGCGCGCTCCACCCTCGGGCACGCCCCCTTCTCCCGAGGCCAATCAGAGGAGCCGACCGGGAATCGTAGGTTTTATGAATGGGCCGCGCGCCCACCCACCTGCCGCCTATCTTTTTCTAAACTGAGGGTCAAGTTTAGAGACCGCTAGCACCTGCGGACGCGTAGCCTAATAATCTTCTCATTCTTGCTCCAGAAAATGAGTAAACCGCCCAGGGCGTATTACGTAATCCTTCTTGGACGAAGAATCTCTGTATTCAACACAAATCACAGGTCAACATTTGTGTGAGGATATGAAAACTCAGTACCGCGCACGTGGTCGTTCGCTTTTTACACAGTTACAAAAATAAATGTAGCCTTTATTACCAAGTAATAAAATAAAAACCATAATTACCCATAGCACAGGGCAGCAGGATGAAGTGATTAAATGAATAGTGTTACATTCTCTGGGAGGGAAACGGTTTTAATAATTACAGAGCCTGGCATTTTAGTGCTTGAAAATAAAAATCCAAATACGTTTTAGGCTGAACTAGGAACTGGTAGAAGAAAGTAATGGCTTGAATAAATGTGTGGGTTAAGAGGGCCTCAAGGTCTGTTAATCGCAGCTCCAGAGGTTAACACAGGAGGATCTATAGTTCAAGGTCAGCCTGGGCTAGGATAAATCTGTTTTTGGTTTGTTTATTTTTAAAATGAGGGAACCTAGAAGTTTCCTGGTCAAAAGAGAGCTTCTGGTGAAATAATAGAAAAAAGAATGGCAGTAAAAACACGGGAGTGGCCCCTAGAGTCTTGTCTTAGACTTTTAGTTAAATTACTACAGGATAAAAGAGAAGTTAGGAAGCTAGGCATGTAGTTCATGCCAGGAATCCCAGCATTCAGGAGGCTAAAGCAAGTCAGCCACCGCCAGGCCCCAGCTCAAAAGACAGACAGTGAAGCAGCAGCCACCTGCTGTGTGTGGGGCTGTAATCACAAGCACTTGGGAGGTTGAGGGGGGGGGATCAAGTTCAAGGTCATTCTCAGCTACCTGGGAAGTTCAAAGCCAGAGAGAGAGAGAGAGAGAGAGAGAGACAGAGAGAGACAGAGAGAGACAGAGAGAGACCCTGCCTCAAATCAAACAAACAGAACCACCACCAACAGCTTCCACGAGCACACTGGCAATATGGTCCTGTTCCCTGCACCACTGGCTGCCCAATATGAAACCCTAAGGAACAAAAGGGCACACATACTTGGCAGATGTGTCCTTCCTGAAGCCAGCATATAGCTATGAATGCAACCTAACACGTGTAGAGGACAAAGTTACCTCCAAATGTCAAAGGCTAGCTACCCCAGCTAGATTCTGCCACTAACCCCAAAGCTCCTCCCACACCAGAAGCAGAGAGAAAAGTAAGTCACACCCCCTTACCATGTTACTTCCTGACAGGGTTCAGGGTGGCTTCCACATAGTAAAATCATCAAACAAAACGTTCTCACAAAGCTAGCTTTTTTAAAAGCATGTATAAAATTATACATTTGTACATATACACATTATACTAGTACATCTCAAAGAGCAAATATAGGACTTTTTGGGGGTACTGTTTTATCTTCCAAGCTCTTCCTGACACTTGGCTATTCTGTCATAAAATCTAACTAAGGTCAATGCTCATTTATCCCCATACGCAGAGTCTATCTATCTGGGTGGCCGTGGAGAGAGGTCTCTGGAAGGTCTGATCCATTGGTTCAGGTGGGAGGGAAGAGGTGTGACAAGCAGCCAAGCTTTCCAGGACAGCCCAGTGCCCATCCATTAAAACACAGTCAAAGCCCACAGTGCATCCAGCCAATGTCCCCGAGGGTCCCCAAATCAAGTCACATTGGTTTTTAAAGAATGTACCATGTTTCAGGAGACAATGGGCAAGGGACACTTTGAACAGTGGTGGTTTTCATCTGTAGAAGAAGCTATTTGAACTCTTATAAAGAGAATTTTAGGAGTCAGCAGCCTCCCTGGAGAATTCAGGAAAACCAGTAAGAGAACCTGGTTTTCATCTTCTCATGAAGTTCTTCTCCAGAGCTACTGACGTTCGCTGCAGAGAATGGATGTTGCGCTTCACCCGGTCCTCCAGGGAGGAAGTAGATGCACTTTCCAGCTTCATGCGCCTAGGGAAGAGAAGACAGGTGAATGGGGTGGCGGTGAGAATATTTTTTCAAGTGGTCAATTCTGGCATCATTGGAAGAAACATGACTGTCGTCGGAAAGCAGCTTTAGACACACAAGTTCTTCTCAGCCCACAGACAATTTTCAAATGACTCCATCTGGAACCAGGGTTTTTAAATGTCCATAAGGGAAAACTCATCTGTTTTTAGAAAACAAGTCAAGTCTCATTGGAAAAAGGTTTACTGAGCCATAAATTTTTACTTAAAAGGAAAGTCAAAGAATTTCAGTGATTTTGGGGAAAAAAACCACTTCTATTTCAAATAAAAACTCTCCCCACTGTCTGGCTAGAAACTGGGAGCAGCACCAAAACTAGCCCCAAGCTGAGCTCCAAGGTCTCTGGACAAAGATGAGAACACCAGCATGCCCCAGCAGCAGCCCCACCGCCACCCGGCGGCCTGGAGGCCATGCAGGTGGAGCCCCAGGTACGAGCAAGCACTTACTGGATGAACTTGCCAGAGCGAGAGTCTAGCTTCTCCAGTCTGCGCTCCCGCTCGTCCTCCTTGGCGTGTTTCTTGAGGGTGTTGAGCCTCTCCTCCTCCCTCCACTTAGCATTTTCCATCATCTCCTGCCGTTTCCGCTCTAGTTCCTCTGCTGAGAGTTTTCTGTGGAACACAGAAACCATCCAATTGGCTCTACCCCTTCCCTAGCAAGACAAACAAGCAGTACAGCACACAGGCAGGCCCGCAGGCTTGTGGCTCTCCAAAGAGAAAAGAGGACCAGAGTCATGCCAGGGTGAGTTTCCTTCCTTCTGATGTCTGTCAGGTGGTTCCCAGCAAATCATGAAAACTTTTGGTGAAGGATTTCATAATCACTCTCCTTAATTTCTAGGATAATTTTTTTAAAGATTTATTTATTTATTATGTATACAACATTCCTTCCATGTATGCTTGCATGCCAGAAGAGGGCACCAGATCTCATTATAGATGGCTGTGAGCCACCATGTGGTTGCTGGGAATTGAACTCAGGACCACTGGAAGAGCAGTCAGTGCTCTTAACCTCTGAGCCATCTCTCCAGCCCCATAGGATAATTATTTTAACATTATGTATGTAATGAAACACATACATACACATTACATTACATTATGTAAGTATGAAACACAGTAAGACTGAGAACTAACCAGGAACCTAACCTTACAGAAAGTGTGTCTTCACTAACAACTTACAAAACAAAGGACTGGGCCATCCATGGGATTGTTGCTACCTCCTACTCCATAAAGGAAGCTTAAGAACCTATAGATTAAAAAAAAGAAGAAGAAGAAGAAGGAGGAGGAAGGAAGAAACTAGAGAGATGGCTCAGAGGTTGCTGGGAGCACTGGTTGCTCTTCCAGAGGACCCAGGTTCAAGTCCTAACACCCACATGGCAGCCCACAACTGTCTGTAACTACAGTTCCAAGGTACTTGACACCCTCACACAGACAAATGCCTCACACAGACAAACAACAACAACAAAGTCAAAAACAAAAACCCATGGATATGGGGATTGAGATGTTGAGATGTCTCAGTGGGTAAGAGCACTTGCTATGCACAAATGAGTTCCTGAGTTCAAATCCATAGCAACATTGTAAAATCTGGGCATAACCACATATGCCCGTAACCCTGGCATTAATTGGAAAAAACAGGCAAATCCCAGGAACTGGTTGGCCATTTAGCCTAGCCAAATCATTGAGTTCCAGGTTCAATGAGAGACCTGGCTCTGGGAATAAGGTAGAGTGTTGTGGAATATTTGTTTAACTATGTAAAGATGTGTTGTATTTGTGTATGTAAAGATGTGCTGCATTTATGTTGCAGAATATTTGTTTCAGTAAAGATGTGTTGCACTTGTTTAATTATGTAGCTGTTTTACCTTGCCTGCCTAACATACCTGGTTGGTCTAATAAAAAGTTGAATGGCCAATAGAGAGGGAGGAGGTACAGGCAGGACTTCTGGGCAAGAAGAGTAAGTAGGAGGAGGAATTTAGGCTGGGAAAATAGAAAGAAAAAGAGACACCAGGGAAACACCATGGGCCAGACAGACAGACACAGAGGAAGCAGGAAAGTAGGACACACAGAATGAAAAAAAGGTAAAAATCCCGAAGCAAAACAGACAAATAGAAACAGGTAAAATTAAGTTAAAAGAGCTGAGACGGGGGGGGGGGGCCCCCAAGAGAGATCACTCAGTAGTTAAGAGCACTGCCTGCTCTTCTGGAGGATCCGGGTTCAAATTCCCAGCACCCACATGGCAGCTCACAACTGTCTGTAATTCCAGTTCCAAGGGAACTAACACCCATGGGAAAACACCAGTGCACATAAAATAAAAATAAATCAAATTAAAAAAAAAAAGCTAATGGGACAAGCCTAAACTAAGGCCAAGCATTCATAATAATAAGTTCCCTGTCTTTATTTGGGACCTGGTTGTTGGCCCAGGACCTCCCCGTGTGTGAGTAGGGGTATACAGGACACACACATTCATGGGTACAACCCAAGAGTATACCACTTTGGGATGAAGCTAGATGTCAGCAACCTAACTTAACGACCGACCTCAGACTATAATGGGGGGGTGGGGAATAGAGGAAGCGACAAACCAGATTAGTCGTCACTTCACAAGGTTAGACATCCAAAGCTGCTGCTCCTAAAAGGGTCATGTTATAGTTTGTGCATCGTTTGTGATACAAGATTTTAAAGAGGTCAATTTTTAAGAAATGCCCATTTGGAGAAACAAGCTAAAATACGAAAACCTGACATTTAGTATGCTCCTGACTTACCTGGTGTATCCGGAAGCATGCCGCCTCTGGTAGACCTCCTTTTTAGGTGATGGGCTATCTCTCTCTTTCCTGTTTACCTTAGAGGCATGCCTGTAATGCACACAGAAGGGACATGCCTTTTAATTTGGGGGATTATTAGTACATCCCTCAACCAATGGAGCTTCCTTAAAAGTATAATCCAGCCTGGGGCCAAAAAGACAGCTCAATAGCACTAGCCACCAAGCCTGATAACCTGAGTTCAATCTATGGGAATCCATAAAATTGTTCTCTGACCTCCAGAAGCACGCAGTGACACATATGTGTGTACGCTCACGCACAATTTTTTTAAGATTTATTTATATAGCTGGGCCGAGGTAATGCATGCCTTCAATCACAACACTCGGAAGGCAGAGGCAGGCCTGGTCTACAAGAGCTAGTTCCAGGATAGGCTCCAAAATTACAAAGAAACCTTGTCTCAAAAAACAAAAAGCAAACCAAAAAGTTTATTTGAGCCGGGCTGTAGTGGTGCACACCTTTAATTCCAGCACTCGGGAGGCAAAGGCAGGCAGATCTCTGTGAGTCTGAGGCCAGCCTGGTCTACAAGAGCTAGTTCCAGGACAGGCACCAAAGCTACAAAGAAATCTTGTCTTGAAACCCCACCACCACCACCACCAAAAAAAAGTTTATTTATTTTATGTATGAGTGCTCTATCTGCATATACGCCTTTATGCCAGAAGAAGGCATCAGATCCCACTAGAGATGGTTGTGAGCCACCATATAGGTGCTGAGAATTGAGCTCAGGACCTCTGGAAGAAGAGCCAGTGCTCTTAACCACTGAGTCATCTCTCCAGCCCCTAGACACACAATTTATTTCAAGTGTAATCTGGGGTTTCAGAGGCTCAGTAGTTAAAATTTCTTGCTAGATAAGTACGAGGACCAGAACTGAGATCCCAGCACCCACATAACAAGCCAGACACAGTTCTCCCAGCACTGAGTGAGAAGGACACAGGATTTTTGGGAATTGTGAGCTTTCAGCCTTGCCAAAAAAAGTAAGAAAGAGAGAGAGAGAGAGAGAGAGAGAGAGAGAGAGAGAGAGAGAAGTGAGCTCTTGGTTTAGGGAGAGACTGCCTCGACGGAATAAGGTAGAGAGTGGTGTATGTGCGCCCACCCACACACGTGTGCACACGCTACACACATACAACAAAAGTACAACCCAAAGACGAGGGGAAATTCTGCTAGCAATAAAGTCCTACAAATGCGATTTGTTATGATTGCATGTAACTTCAGTGAGGTGCTGGAAAGAGTGAACTTCACCCAAAACAAACACCTGCCAGGACCAGGCCCTTAAGGTCACAGATTATTTCCCGGTGAGTCCCCACACTCACGGTTTGTTGGGCCTTGGGGATCGAGACCTCCTGTCCCGGGACCTCTCTTCCTTGGAGCTCTTCCTGCTGACATGTCTGGGGGGGGAGTGGGAGGAGCTTCTTGAGCGGGAATGGTTCTTCATCCCCCTCTGCTCAGCCATCACAGAGCCCTGCAGCCCCTGGTCACGGTCAGAGTCCCTCACCTATGTCATTAAGGAAGAGACGAGAGCATCCATAGGAAAAGCTAGCTGCTCAAACAGAAATGCAGTACAGCAAGGCAAAGAATGAACGAGAGTCTCTAAACTGCCAAGAGTAGGTGAGATGGCTATGCAGCCGCATGAGGTGTAGGGAGGCGGGGCATACCTGAATCCTAGTACTCAGAATGCTAAGGGGAGAGGACTGTAAATTCAGGCCAGCTTATGCTACATTCTGAGACTCTGTCTTAAAAAAAAAAAAAAAAAAAAAAAAAAAGGCAAGCTGGGGCAAAGGCATGAAGATCAAGTTTGAGAACAATTTGAACTACGTATGGAAATTCTATTCAGAAAAGCCAAGAGTTACCTTCCTTCCATGTCTGTTCAGGATACAGAAGAATTCAGAATTAATTTTTTTTTTTAATGTGCATTGGTGTTATGCCATGGGTGTCCTCCCCTAGAACTGGAGTTACAGACGCTGTGAGCTGCTATGTGGATGCTGGGAACTGAACCTGGGTCCTCTGGAAGAGCAGCCAGTGCTCTTATCCACTAAGCCATCTCTCCAGGCCCGAATTCAGAATTTTTGAGATTCTGTCTCAAGAAACAACCAAACAAGCAAACAAGAGCCCAGAGCTCACATCTTTAATCCCAGACTTGGGAAGCAGAGGCAGGTAAGTTCCAGGCCAGTCAGGGCTATACAGTCTCAAAATAATCCAATAAGCAAATGAATGAATGAGTGAGTGAGTGAGTGAGTGAACCAAGAGTTGAGGTCACAGTTCACTCATAAAGCATTGGCTTAGCATAAGCAAACCCAGGGGTCCATCCCAAGCACCTCACAAAAATTAAAAAAGTGAGGGACGTCTTTTGGTCAAAAGTCATTAAAATGTAGACATTTCATGTCAATTATCTGCAGTTCTTGGAAGGAAGGTAAGAGCTCCACTAGTGATTTCTCAGAGAGAGGCGAAAGGCTCAAGGATGAGGAGCAGGCTTGGTCTCCAGCAGTCCCATCCTCCACTCTCCAAACTGCCCCGCTGTGTGCAGGGGTCAAGAGTGACAAACTGCACGGTCCCATAGTCAGTCCCTTTGAAAGGCCCACATCTCTACCTGTAAGCCATATCCGGGGACTTTGGACAAAACAGGAAAGGAATTTGCCATCTTCTTTTGCGATCTAAGAGATTAAAACACATACGCATTCACTGAAACAGAAAAGTCCAGCCTGACCCGCTGCTGAGAAGCGCAGCCTGGCCCCGCCCCGGCTACTACAGTCATCGCTTGGCAGCGCCCTTCTCTATTTGGACTGTCTTGGCTAGAAGACATCAGCGCAGTCAAGTTTTTCCTGTGAAAAGCTGTGGGCAGAGCTCTCAGCCTCAGCGCCTGCACATTCTCCTCTCACCTCATGCTGCTATTCCTGGGACTAATCGTGAGTCAGCAGCCACAGAGCCGACTGTCCCTGCGGCAAGACGCAGAATGGGCCCACACGGTCCCATTAATCCATTTTTAAAAAAAGAGGGAGAGAGTCTACAGAAAACTCCCTCCAGTCTCGAAGACTCAAACTGATATAAAACAGTCTTGTCAGGAGCTCTGCCCTAAGATCTGGGAGGCGAAGGCCAGACTATCCAAGAGTGCACCAGGAGACAAAGACTTAGCTTCTCCAAAGAACTCTTAATGCCAGAGGCCAGCTATGCAGTACTGAGCGCACATCTGCACGTGCCTCATGGAAACCCCAGTGCCTGGCGCTCAGCGCCTCCCTGGGATGGATGAGTGAATGGGTAAGAAGTCCTGCTGAGGGAGGCTGGCACCCATCTGCCCACCTGCCCTGGCACCATCTGCCCACCTGCCCTGGCAC